CTCCGCAGGGCTGCGGGCGGCCGTGCAACTGGTGGGGTCCGGAGGTGGTCTCCAGACACCCGGGGGGTCCCTGCGCCTCCTCTGCAAGGCCTCCGGCTTCACTTTCGGCAACAAAGCCATGAACTGGGTGCGACAGGCGCCCGGGAAGGGGCGCGAGTACGTCGCGAGTATTAACAGCGGTGTTACACAAACTACGCGCCGTCGGTCAAAGGACGCTTCACCATCTCGAGGGACAACTCCCAGAGCACGCTCACGCTGCAGATGAACAGCCTCAGGGTCGATGACACGGCCACCTACTACTGCGCGAAAGATGATGATGGTGGTGGTCCTGACCTCAGCACCTTCTTGAAATCCTTCCAGAAACACCCACGTCGTCTTGGAAAACTGGACCCTTGCACCAAGCACACAAGCCTTTCTTGAGCCCAAATACATAGCTTTTGGCACAAATTCTTGCTCCGGACCTCCTCTGCAAGTGCTCTGGCCTCACTTCAAGCACCTCCAGCATGGACTGGCTGCAGCAGGCACGTAGCACCTTCCCGAAGTCCTTCTAGCAAGCCCAGACCCCTGTCCCGAGACCAGACATTCCTGTCCTCCATCCCCAAAGCCCAGCACCTTCCCCAAAATTGCATTATCTGTGCAAATCCCTTGCTCTGAGAATCAGCATCCTTGCCCTGCATCAGCAAATCCCAGCATTTTCCCCAAATCCCAGCATCTTCCCCAAATCCTTACACGAAGCATCAGCGTCCTTGCCCTGCATTCGCCAAAATCACAGCATCTTCCCCAAATCCCAATGTCTTCCCAAAATCCTAGCCCAAATATCAGCATCCCTGCCCTGCATCCCCAAATCCCAACATCTTCCCAAAACCATTGCCCCCAGCATCAGCATCCCTGTCTTGCATCCCCCAATCCCAGCATCTTCCCCAAATCCAATTATCTTCCGAAAATCCTTTCCCCAAACATCAGCATCCTTGTCCTGCATCCACAAATCTCACCAACTTCCCCAAATCCTTGGTCTGATCATCAGTATCCCTGTCCTGCATCCCCCCAAATCCCTGCACCTTCCCAAAAATTCCACCATCTTCCCGAAAATCCTTGTGCTGAGCATTGGCATCCCTGCCATGCATCTGCAAATCCGAGCATGTTCCCCAAAATCCCAGCGTATTGCCCAAAGTCCTTGCCCTGAGCATCAGCATCCCGGCACCACATCACGAAATCCTAGCATTTTCCTGAAATGCCAACATCTTCCCCAAATCCTTGACCTGATCATCAGCCTCCCTGCCCTGCATCCCCCAAAATCCCAGCATCTTCCTAAAATCATTGCCCCAAACATCAGCATCCCTGGCAGGCATCCAGATATCCCACCATATTCCCCAAATCCCGACTTCTTCAACAAGTCCTTGTCCTGACCATCAGCATCCCTGCCCTGCATCCCCAAATCCCAGCATCTTCCCTAAAATCCCACCATCTTCCTCAAAATCCTTGCCCTGAGCATCAGTCTCCCTGCCCTGCATCCCCCCAAATCCCAGCATCTTCCCCCCAAAACCAGTTTCTTCGTAAAATCCTTGCCCTGAGCATCAGTCTCCCTGCCCTGCATCCCCCCAAATCCCAGCATCTTCCCCCCAAAACCAGTTTCTTCGTAAAATCCCTCCCTGAGCATCAGCATCCCTGACCAGCATCCCAAAATCCCAACATCTTCCCAAAATCCTTGCTCTGAGCAAGAAAAACCTGCCCTGCATCTGAAAGTCCCAGCAACTTCCCCAAATCCAGTATCTTCCCCAAATCCTTGCCTTGGACATCAGCATCCCTGCCCTGCATCCCCAAATCCCAGTATCTTGCCAAAAATCCCACCATCTTCCCCAAATCCAATTATCTTCCCAAAATCCTTGCCCCAATAATAAGCATCATTGCTCTGCATCCCCAAATCCCAGCATCTTCCCAAAAGCCTTCATCCGAGCATCAGCATGCTTCCCTGCATTCCCAAATCCCAGCATCTTCCCCAGACCCGTGCCCTGAACATCGACATCCCTGCCCTGCAGCTCCAAATCCCACTATTTTCCCCCAAATCCCACCATCTTCCCAAAGTCCTTGGCCCAAGCATCAGCATCAATGCCCTGCATCCACAAATCTCAGCATTTTTGGCAAATCCCAGCATGCTCCCAAAATCCAGCATCTTCCCAAAAGCTTTTCCATGAGCATTAGCATTCCTGCCCTGCATCCCTGAATCCCAGCATCTTCCCAAAAAATCTGCCCTCTTCCTAAAAACCTGGGCCTGAAAATCAGCATCGCTGCCCTGCATCCCCAAATCCCAGCATCTTCCCCAAATCCTTGTCCTGACCATCAAGACACCTGGCCTGCATCCCCAAATCCTTGCACCTTCCAAAAAATCCCAGCATCTTCTCCAAAATACTTGCCCCGATCATCAGCATTCCTGCCCTGCATCCCCAATTCCCAGCACCTTCCCCCAAAATTCCATCATCTTCCCCAAAATCCTTGTCCCAAGCATAAGCATTCCTGCCTGACATCCAGGAATCGCAGCATTTTCCCAAAATACCAACATCTTCCATAAATCCTTGTCCCAAGCATAGGCATCCCTGTCTTGCATTCCAACGTCCCAGCATCTTGCCCAAAATCCCAGCATCTTGCCCAAAATCCTTTCCCTGAGGATTAGCATCCCTGCCCTGCATTCCAAAATCCCAGCATCTTTGACAACTCCTTGCTCTGAGCAACAATATCCTTGCCCTCCATTTCTAAAATCCCAACATCTTCCCAAAATTCTTATCCCAAGCATCAGCATCCTTGCGCTGCATCCCCAAATCCCAGCACCTTCCCAAATCCCAGCATCTTCCCCAAATCATTGTTCTGAGCCTAGACAGCTCTGCCCTGCATCTCCAAATCCCAGCATTTCCCCAAAATGCAATTATCCTCCCCAAATCCTTGACCCCATGCATCAACATTCCTGCCCTGCATCCCAAAAATCCATCACCCTCCCCAAAATACAATTGTCTTCCCCAAATCCTTGCCCCAATAATCAGCATCATTGCTCTGCATCCCCAAATCCCAGCATTTTCCCCAAATCCCAGCATCTTCCACAAATTCTTGCTGTGATCATAAGCCACCCTGCCCTACATCCCTCAAAATCCCAGCATCTTCCCCCAAAACCCAGCTTCTTCCTAAAATCCCTCCCTGAGCATCAGCATCCCTGACCTGCATCCCCAAATCCCAGCATCTTCCCCCAAAATCCTTGCCCCGACCATCAACACCCCTGCCCTGCATCTCAAAATCCCAGCTTCTTCCCCAAAAATCCAACTATCTTCCCAAAATCCTTGCCTCAAGCATCAGCATCCTCATCTTGGATCCCAAAATCCCAGCATCTTTCCAAAAGCCTATCCCCAAGCATCAGCATCCCTGCCCTCCATTCCAAAATTGCAGCATCTTCCCCAAAATCCAACTACATTCCCCAAATCCTTGTCCTGCATCCCCAAGTCCCAGCATCTTCCCAAAATGCCAGCGTCTTCCAAAAATCCTTGCCCTGAGCATCAACTCCCATGCCCTGCATACACGAATCCCAGCATTTTCCCAAAATATCAGCATCTTTCCAATATCCTTGCCCTGAGCCCAGAAACCTCTGCCCTTCCTCCCCAAAATCCCAGCATCTTCCCCAAATACTTGCCCCAAGCATCAGCATCCCTGCCCTTCACCTAGAAATCCCAGCATTTTCCCAAAATATCACCATCTTCCCAAAATCCTAGCTCTGAGCCAAGACAACTGTCTCCTGCATCCAAAAATCCCAGCATCTTCCCCCAAATCCCAGCATCCTCCCAAAATCCAGCATCTTCCCCAAATCCTTGCCTGAACATCAACATCCCTGCCCTGCATCCCCAAATCACTGTATTTTCCCAAAATACCAAAAATCTTTGCAAAATCCTTGCCCTGAGCATCAGCATCTGTGCCCTGCATCCCAAAATCCCAACAGCTTTGCAAAAAAACCAATTATCTTCCCAAATCCTTGCTCTGAGCCCAGACAAATGTGTCTGCATCCAAAAATCCCAGCACTTTCCCAAAATCTCAGCATATTCCTGAAAATCCTTGCCCAAGTATCAGCATCCCTGCCCTGCATAGTCAAATCCCAGCATCT